TGAACTTGGTATGTTTAAAAAACACGAAGATCAGGATAACTGGAACTTAGTGTTCAAGGAAAAAAGACCAGGAGAGGAGATCAGAGAGTAGACAGAACGGCAAGGATCAACTTCCAGAGGGCCATGTAGGCTGTGGGAAGGAGTTTGGATTTTATCCCAAGAGTGATAGAAGGCTACTGATGAGTGTTGACTAAGATAACAATATGGGTTCTTTTATAGTTTAAGAAAAGAACACCCTAGTTTCTTCAGGGCACAGATGAAAAGGGGAGACAAGGCTGTTACAGGACTATAAGAAAGTGATGAAATGGCATTTCCCTTGATGCCTAGGCTGGAACTGAGACACACCACATTATTGTGTCATTTAGATATCCCAGTGTTTGGCTGAGTGTGACAGTAAGATAGACAAAGTTGTCTGGTGATGTTGGCCATGTCCAAAAAACCCATTAACTGACACAAGTGAAAAGAAAAAATCATATTTCAAGGTTAATCACTGGTCTATTTTTAGACAGTTGTAAAACTCATGATTATTTAAGCATAGTCTGTACATCTGAAAATAGGAAGAAATATTTTGACCTGTGGTCATTTTTAATTTTTGAGGAAAATAGATAAACTATATAAATAAACAAAGATTAAGTCTAGATATATCATTTGAAAAAGAAAATAAAAGCTTGCAATCACTGCTGTAGTGACTGTACATTTATGAATTCACTAAACAGCATCTCTGTGAAATACTCATTGCATAAAATGATGGCTACATTTTTGAGTGTAAGTTACCAGACACTCTGTTAGGTAATTTGCTTTATCTCATTGACTCTTGGTCACTCTATGTCATATGGACATTATTATCACCTGTGTTTTTAAAGTTGAGGACATTTTAGGCACAGGATTTTTAAGTCACTTACCCTTAGTAAGTCACAGAGCTGATAACTGATAAAGTTGGGGGACTCCAGCCTAGGTTACTTTACCCTTAATCACTGCCCACCAGTGTATCTTTGTTTATTTATTTACTTATTTATTTATTTATTTATTTAAGTTTTTTGAGACAGGGTCTCTCTCTGTTGCCCAGGCTGGAGTGAAGTGACACAATCAATGCTAATTGCAGCTTCAACTTCCAGGGATGAAGACATCCCCATGCCTCAGCTTCCCAAGTAGTTGGGACTACAGGCATACGCCACAACACCGGCTAATTTTTTAAAACATTTTTTTGTAAAGGTGGGGTCTCCTAATGTTGCCTGGGCTGTTCTTGAACTCTTGGATTAAAACAATCTTCCCTCCTGGGCCTTCGAAAGTGTTGGGATTACAGGCGTGAGCCATGGCACCCCACCAGCACCAGTGGTTAATTTAGTGAAAAACACACCAACCCAGTTTCTCTTAAGAGTTAAAAATAGCCCGCTGATGAAGACTTTTCCTATTCCATTGGTTGTTTTGAAATACAGACACAGCACCTGTGTGGTAGCAATAAGCGGCAAGAAGGCAGTTTATAAAACAGATATGTCCCTCTGCAGGACGTACACTGGCCCTTTTAAAGTCAGTGAGCCAATACAACCACCAAGGATGTAAATACACTAAGTGACAGCATAATTAATCCTCCGTTACACAATCAATGAGGAATAATAACGTTTCTTGGGAAATGGAATATAGTAGACGGAGCCTGAATTTTCCCAGAGCACAGATGTTGAGTCGTCATTTGATGAATCCTCCCTGGAGGGGAACCGTAACAAATACACAGAACCTCTCAAGGACAGCCAGAGTTGTAAATTGTGGGCTATAAAAATAATATAAATATTGTGCCAGCATTTATAATTTATTTGTTGGACTCACAGGTGAAAAATAAGGTCTAGCTGGCAGGTCTAATGTGAACTAGTATTGGCAAATCCATGCTGCATACTAAACCATTGCTTTCTGTATTTCATTTCGTTTAAAAACATATAATAAAGCTCAGAAAAAGGAAGTTCCTTTGGAAAAATGGAGTTATGGACACAGATTTTTGTAATGTGACATGATAAAGTTATTGGGGTGTTAGTAAATTTAGTTTTTCTTGACTTGTAATGGTGAAATTTAGGCACTTAGAGCATTGAGGGAAATCATAACATCGAGAAACAATCCTGTTTAAAAACACGCAAAATCGCACAGGTGTATTTTTTTTGGTTGGTTGGTTTTTTACTGTAACTTAACATTGGAAAGTCAAAATCATTAACTGAATAAGGACATCATTGTGAGACAGCGAGGGGCTGTGAAAAGAATGTAGTTGTTCAGTCTAAAAAGCTGTTTCCTAATGTCAGCTGTGCCTTAAACCCCAGTGATCTTGGGCAAGTTCCATAGTGCCCCAGGGCCTATAGATACTTGTGGCAGTCCTCGCTAAATAAGACTCATGAATATAAAGTGAGGTACACGTAAGAGAAGGCAGTATTGCTTTGAGCTTTAAGATGTGCACCATTCTCAGCTGTGCTGCATTAGCAAACTCTTCTGTTTCCATGTACCTCATTTTCCCCATCTTGTCAATGGGGATAATAACACTTATCTTTGTGAGTTTTTGAGGATTAATGGAAATGTGGTACATGTCAAGTTCTGGGTACTGTGTCTTAGAGAAATAAGAGCTCAATAATTGTTAGCATTGTACATTTACTGTAATT